CTTCCCCACGGCGGGTCGGCAGGGCCTGCTAGCTAGCCTCTCCCGCGGCTAACCGACTTGTCGGCTAGCTGGCTAGCGGCCAGATCGGAAGCCAGGCTGGGATGACCAAACTGATGACCAGGCCTCTTCAGATTAGGTATCCACCTGCGGAGGGGCCGACCTGCTGACCTGATACCACACGGCGGCTGGGCAGGTTTTCTGAGGCGGTACCCGTTCTGGATCGGCTTCAGCGACCGGGCCCATGAGGGGCATTTCGCATGCGACAGCGGCGAGGAATGCAGGTGGTACTCCAGGTGGCACCCGCCGACCGAACCCAACGGTGTCAGGCATAGAGAGGACTGCGCTGAGATGCTGCAGGTGGGCGATCAGGATGAAGACCGCGGGGGCTGCCGTCGTCCGGCGAGGGGTGTGCAATATTGCAGCTGATGTGTGCCGTGCAACAATGTTTTGCAATCCCGCAACATTTTCTTTATTGCTTCTTAAGGGGATCTCGCGCTTTGCGAGAACCCTGGAGGTGGTCCTGGAGCTCTAGGATGCTTCGTCTCACTGTAAACTACTGTTGCAACATTCTGCAAACTTTTGCAACATTTTTCAAAATCATCAGACAGGAGCGCTGTGAGGGGTGCACATGGCCCTCTGATTCGCGGGAGAACCGTGGCAGCTCCGCGTGCGGTGGAACTTTGGTGCTTTGCCTGGATCGCTTGCGTTGTGCGGTCGAGACGCAGGCGGTGGGAAAGTTGACGTACTGTAGATGAGCAAATGCACCCGTCTGCATGGGGGACGACTGTAATCCAGGTAAAATACGACTCAATCGAGTCAAATCCAACCAAGTTATCTCGGCTGCGATTTGCAAAAGCCAATCCGAAACTCCCGTACGTCGTACCGCGCGCCATACCGTGCGTCGTACCGTGCGGCGTACCGCGCGTCGAACCATGCGTCGTACCGTGAGTCGCATCGTGTGTCATACCATGCATCGCACCATGAGTCGTACCGTGTGTCGTACCGCGCAGGACAGGACGTGGGCTGACAACTCGTGCCACCTGGGCTACCGCGCCCCTGCCTTTCCGTCCGTCTGCGAGTACAGCATCTGCGGCCGGTCCAAGACGATCCCACTCGAGACTGTCCGCGGCACCAAGATCCGTCTCTGGCAGCCCGACGGTCAGAGTCCTGCTTCAGGGGGATGGCAGCCCTGCTCTTCTTCAGAACAGGACCTCTGCAGTTTCTAAACTACACGCCGGCGAAGATGGGGAGACTTTTTCGGGGAGGATGTTTCAAGGTCATCAGGGGTATTCATGATATCATAATAAAGTCACTCAAATCCTGTCATTCCATAATCCATGCGGTGATTAGAGCCGATGAGAATATAATGCTCGAAGCGTTCATACCTGGCCTTCGTGAGCACGGTAAAACGGTCGTCAAATGGCCCGCAATGAATGCCGTACAAGGTCTGTTGACGTAATCGAGCAATGCCGCATCGAGGAGCACATTTACTAGACAGAAATGTTGTTTTGTCTAGAGCAGTCTTTTCTGCTTAAAAGTACACCAAAAGTTCTAAGTGAGCTCGTTTCATCACGTCCGATGCTTGTTTCATCATCTTCACATGTGAAATGTTCCCATTAACAGCCGAACAGATACCACTGAGAAGTCTCACTGCGGATCCTGCTGAGGGGTTCTGCCGTAGAGTTCTGCCGCGCGGTCATGCTGTGCAGTCTTGTTGTGCAGTTCTACTGTGCAGACCTGTTATGCCGACCCACTGTGCGGTCTTGCTATGTCGTCCCACCGTGTAGTCTTGCTGCGCGGTCTTGGTTTCAGTCTTGCTATGCCGTCTTACTGTGCAGTCTTGCTGTGCAGTCTTGGTCGCGGTCTTGCTATGCCGCCTTGCTATGCCGTCTTGTTGTGCAGTCTTGCTGCGCGGTGTTGCTGCGTCGTCTGCCGCGTGCGTGTACTTCCCGGCAGTTCTCCGCCGTGCATGACACGCATGTGCATGACACGCCGTGCATGGCACGCACGTGCATGGCACGCCGTGCATGGCACGCACGGCGGAGGCTACACATCGGCCCAGTGACACTCTTTCGGCACCGTGCGTCCACAGACGGGCTGCGCTGTCCACCCGGCTGGCGACGCAGCGACAGCCGCTGCTATGGTGGATTCACCGCGCCCGACACGTTCGCCCGTGTGGAAAGACAGTGCGCCAGCCGCCACCCGCAGGCCACAGTGGCGGTGCTGCGCTCTATCGAGAACAACGACGTAGCCGTTTGTGAGCTACACGGGAGCGCGACCATGCGCCGGCGCTTGATGACGTCATGACCACGTGTCGGCGCTTGATGACGTCACGACCGCTGGCATTAGTCCCGAGGAATGAGCTGGTTGGGTCGGAGCATTGCCGTGGGCTGGAGTTGGGCGCACTCGGTGGAGCGCTTGCTGACGATGATGAACCTTCGCCATGAAATGAACGCCATGCCTCATTTCGTGCTTACTAAGAGCCGTGGTGTTTGCAACGTCGATGTTGCCCCTGCGCCGTTGACTGTCACCCCTGCGCCTTTTACTGTCGCCCCCGCGCCGCTGATTGCCGCTCCGGTGCCGCAGTCGCCGCCGGCTCGCTGCCAATGTGGATCGACTATGGCCGCCGGTCGGGCGGCGTCGTGCTGAGCGGAACCGGGCAGCGCAAGCAGTGGACCTCTGCCTTCACTTACTGGGAGGCAGATGCGGAGCCGTCCCCCTCTTCCAAAACCGACTGCGCGGGGGTACGACGCAGCAGTAGTCACGACAGCAGGGACGAGAGGTCGGGGAACTGGAGAAGACGGGTCTGGGGTCAGGGTGTCAGAGGTCATGATGCCAGGGGTCAGTGTGTCAGAGGTCATGGTGTTTGAGTCAAGGTGTCAGAGGTCATGATGTCAGGGGTCAGGGTGTCAGAGGTCATGGCGTCACGGGTCAGGGTGTCAGAGGTCATCGTGTCAGCGGCCAAGGTGTCAGAGGTCACGGTGTCAGGGGTCAGGGTGTCAGAGATCATGGTGTCAGAGATAAGGGATGGGGATCAGTGAGATACGTAGACCCGCGACGCCATGACCTCTGACAGCCTAACCCCTAACATCATGACCTCTGACACCATAATAACCCGCCGGAGAGGAGGTTACTGGCATTCGCAGCCGCCCGCTCTGACCGGCGTCACCTGCCGTGGACGCTCGCCGCAGATGCAGCGGTCGGGTGAGTGGCGCCCCTACCGGTGCGACGTGGACCGGCTGCCCGGACTCTGTGAGATCCCCGCCTGCAAGCGTGAGTGGAATGGCCTCGGGCCGGGGTGCCGGCACGCCCGAAAAAGCGGCACAGTCACCGACATTATCCGTCCGTCTCATCCTCTATCTCGCTGCATCCTGCATACTCGCGACACCCCGCTTGTCCGGGGCAGGCTGCATGCGTCGGTCACGAGTGGGCCGAGAGTCCCCGTGGGAATGGGGACCCCGACCGGGTACGCAGCGCACATGCGCCGGTTAAAGCTCTGCGATTGGCCCCCCAGGGGTACGCAACCCTGCCTCATCGTTAACCAATGTCCTTAATCCCACTGCCTTGAAATTATCATTTTTGGTTGAAAGGGCTTTAATCCAAACAACCAGCCGCCGATGTGTCTCAAGCCACATGGTGCACATGTACCACGAGCAGCCATGCCTGGCCGCGGTAGACAGATGACCTCTGACCTCTGATGACCTCTTGCCCTGCCGGCAGCCACCTGTCCGTCGGGCTGGGTCCCGTTTGAAGGACACTGTTACCGTCTGGTACGCCGGCGGTTGTCGCGGAAGGCGGCCGCCTCTGTCTGTCAGAGAGACGGCGGCCACCTGGCCAGCATCCAGAGCCAGGATGAGAACGACTTCATCGCTAGTACGGTTTGGGGGCCTGCAGGCTGAAGCGCGCAGCGGAGGGCGTTTTGCGGCTTTGGTGGCAGCGCATGGCCTATTGTCGTCATCCTGGCCAAATAAGGCATTGTTAAATATATATTTACATCTTTATAAACATGTCAGATATCCTCATAGCGCTTCGGCAGCCCGGATGCTTGTCAAGTTCGTTTAAATGGACGGCGCTGTCAATTGTCTTTTCTTGTTTTTCATGTTTCCATTGCTTGACACAATGATAGTCTCGTCGCCACTGAGTTCAAAACAAAAGAGCAAATAATGCACGCTGCCTCACGCGCAGACGACTTTGCTGCTAATATGGATACGCGAGTATAAACGAAAGTAAAGAGAGAAGAGTTGTGTGCGGAGAACAGAGCGTAGAACAGAGCGCAGAACAGAAGCAGGACCTAGCGATAGCCGAGTGCCTTTACCAGGTAACGAAAGTGACATTCCAGATGTCAAGAGTTTAGCGTGTATTCTAGAAAGCGACGATTTTGTGCACCATGTGAAGGCATGATTCTTTCCCGAAAGTTTGCACCAGCTGCGACGCGTCGTCCCGCCCGTCCGATGCCGACACCTCGTGCGTTGACTCTGCACCCACCACAGACCTAGCGCGCTAGCACCCTCCTTCCTAGCAGCAGGCCCCCTGACCTGCCTCCTCCCCAGCAGCAGGGCCTCTGATCTGCCTTCTTCCCAGCAGCAGGCCCCCTGACCTGCCTCCTCCCCAGCAGCAGGGCCTCTGATCTGCCTTCTTCCCAGCAGCAGGCCCCCTGACCTGCCTCCTCTCCAGCAGCAGGCCCCCTGACCTGCCTCCTCCCCAGCAGCAGGGCCTCTGATCTGCCTTCTTCCCAGCAGCAGGGCTCCTGACCTGCCTCCTCTCCAGCAGCAGGCCCCCTGACCTGCCTCCTCCCCAGCAGCAGGGCCTCTGATCTGCCCTCTTCCCAGCAGCAGGATTCCTGACCTCCCTGCTGCCGGCAGCGCTTGCGTTCCGCCGTGGCACCGACTTCCGCAAACGGATAAACCGTCACGCCTGGATCGGCGCTGCGCGGGCGCACCCGACTGACGCCTGGACCTGGGACGACTGCGACGCCTGGACAATGACGCGTTGGATGCACGTGGACGACAGCAAGCACACCAAAGGCGTGTGCTCCGCCATTCACTGCAACGGCCGCTGGCGGCAAGACGCGAACTGTGAGACCAGCATGTTCGGGTGAGGCTCGGGACGCGCTCCCGCGGGGCGCTCCGGGGCGACCTGGCGACGGCGGAGTTCACTCCGTGCCCTTCTGTGTGGACCTGTGTTGGTCTCGTCTGGTGCTTGTTGGGATCTTGGCTGGTGAAGGGTGCGTAGGCGGGGGGGGGGGGGGGGGGAGGCGAATCCAGTGACGGGTGGCGGAGGTTTGCGGGGATGCGCCGTCGTCGTGGGAGGTTTGCGGTGCAGTTGTTGTCGATGGGAGATGCCCTCGGAAAGTGGATGCGCTGCAAACAGCAGGCAAATCGTGGCCCCGCTTATGACGTCAGTTAAAGGGAATAATCACACAGCGCTGATTCGCTTCCTAGAAAATTTGAGTGCTAACCTGCCGTCAGCACCTACAGCTAACTAACTAACCAGCACCTACAGCTAACTAACTAACCAGCACCTACAGCTAACAAACTAACCAGCACCTACAGCTAACTAACTGACCGGCACCTACAGCTAACTAACTGACCGGCACCTACAGCTAACTAACTGACCAGCACCTACAGCTAACTAACTGACCAGCACCTACAGCTAACTAACTGACCAGCACCTACAGCTAACTGACTGACCAGTACCTACAGCTAACTTACTGGCCAGCACCTACAGTTAACTAACTGACCAGCACCTACAGCTAGCTAACTGACCATCACCTACAGCTAACTAACTAGCACCTACAGCTAACTAACTAACCGGCACCTATAGCTAACTTACTGACCGGCACCTACAGCTAATTAACTGACCAGCACCTACAGCTAACCGTCAGGACTGCAGCCACCTCTGTGTGCGTGCATGGTTATCAGGACGCACATGTTGTTGCGCCGCTGGGACGACTAGTCACCAGTTGGTGTCGGTGAATGCAATGCTTGTCCCATCCTCCGTAGGATGGCTGCTTTCGCTGGCGACAAAGCTCAGGGGCTGCGGCGGCTAATCACGAATCGCGCCATGATCACCATTATGCTTACCACGAATTGCACCATGATCACCATTATACTAATCACGAATCGTTCCATGATCACCATTATACTAATCACGAATCGCACCATGATCACCATTATACTAATCACGAATCGCTCCGTGATCACCATTATACTAATCACGAATCGCTCCATGATCACCACTATACTACTGACGAACCGCTTCATGATCACCATTATACTAATCACGAATCGCTCCATGATCACCATTATTCACGGTTCCTGCGGTTCCCGGCAGCTCGGTGTGCGAACTGGACCCGTGTCTGAAGAACTTCGGACCCACCGTTCCGGTTCGATCCGGTTGCCGCAAGGGCAAGGTCACGGAGGTCGGCAGCGGGCCGTGGCCGGAGAGCCAAACGTGTTTGTGAGCTGGCTCATCTCAGATAACAAACTAGCACTTAGTTTTATAATTTGTTGAAGGTCGCTCCTCGTACACACCGACGTTTTGGCTCTGGTTGGCGAATAACCAGGCATTTTGACAACACTTGTTTCAATGCTGTCGCAAGGCGAGATAAACAGACTTCATTCGTTTCATTCGTTTGTTTCTTCAGTTGCAAAACACGAGTGCAGATCATTTGCAGTCCTTCCAGCGGCGCGGTTTGTTCCACACCGCGCCGCTGGAAGGACTGCTGAAGAAATCACTGTAGAAATCTACCGACCGCCCGTCTCCGCCGCGCACCGCTCACATTGGCAGCCCACACGACCAGCCCTGACCAGTGGCGGAGTCGGACCAACATTCGAAGGAGCACGCAGGCTCCGTGTCGACCTCAGTCACCGCATGTCCTAGACAGCCCCGTGTCTGGCTCAGTCGCCACATGACCAAGACAGCCCCGTGTCTGGCTCAGTCGCTATATGACCCAGGCAGCCCCGTGTCTGGCTCAGTCGCCATATGACCCAGGCAGCCCCGTGTCTAGATCAGTCGCCATATGACCCAGGCAGCCCCGTGTCGACCTCAGTCACCGCATGCCCCAGGCAGCCCCGTGTCTGGCTCAGTCACCGCATGCCCCAGACAGCTCCGTGTCTAGATCAGCCGCCATATGCCCCAGGCAGCCCCGTGTCGACCTCAGTCGCTACATGCCCCAGACCCGACCGCCGCCGCCGAGCACTGTCTACTGCACCCCTGACCCCGCCGTCCGCCGCAGAGCAGGGTGTAACGAACGCTCCAAACTCCGATGAACGGCGATTTGCATTTGGCAACGGTTGCCAGCCGACCGACCGTCTCACGCGCACGGTGCAGCCGGCCGACGCGCCGGCCGAGTAGCCCGACACCCAACGTTCGATCATCCATCTACGGGTGACGAGTGTCGGCTGTCGACGTCGACGAAGCCGGCCCAGCCAGGGTGGCACTGAGAACACAGACATTACCGTGCACGGACTCGCAATAACCGCACAGAGCTCCAACCGGAGGCGTTCAGCAGCGCCTTACAGAAGTGCGCCGTCATCTTAAGCCCGCTACACTTGGCCAGTTTACACTCGTTGGGGGAAAGCAGGATCTGCGCCGGGAGCGGTCACCGGCGGGGGCTTGCGCCACGACCTGGCTTGGCAACGCTCTCCGATCCTGTCGCCTGAGGTGGTTTGGATCGTGAGCCCGCTGCACAGGCGCTTAACGTATGATGCGGCGTGATAGAGTTACAGCACGACTGCCTTGGTGCATGCTCCACTAGCGGCATGCAGTCGCAGAGCTGACCAATGCTACGTTAGGCTCAGGTAACGACGCGGCGGAGACGTGTTGTGTTGTTGCGCTGGAAATGCGTTTTGGACATGTGCAGATAAATACCCGTCCGTCGCTGTCAAGCTGGCACATGCTACAAGACAGAGCACAGCGGCAGCTACCGCCGTTGCAACGGCACATCCCGCCCATTCGGCACTAGAGCTGCCACCCCACAGCTGGCGCGTGCCCTCCGCGCGCCGCGCAGCCGGCTCTGATGAGCGGCTCCTCTGGCTCGGCCTCTCCGCTGCCGATCACGGCGGCTTCACCGGCTGGGAGGGCCGATGGTTGGACAATACCGCCACCAGCATGACGTCCTGCGTCGTGATGAGATGGGCGGCAGCTGGGAGGCTCGCGACTGCTCCGAAGCCGGGAGCGCCTGCGTCAGCCACGTGTCGGGATGTGCGAGAGGCCCGGTGCGCAGGCCGGCTGGGGCCTCGCCTCGACAGGCCGGCAACGGCCTGGTCACAGGGACCGGGTGGTCAGTTGAATACCTTTCGCTCAGGTGCTCGGGGGGGGGGGGGGGGAGTGACCCTCCCGAGATGTAAAAACGAGAGAGCTAAAAACGCTAATTTCAGATGGGTTGAGTCGGTCTGAATGTTAACTCACTTGTGCCGAAATTCGGTACACATGCGTCATGATATGCTGGTCAAATAAAAAGGCAAACTCTAGATTGCTGTTTAAAGTGCTCTCAGATCTTCTTATGCAACCGCTTCGAACCTATACATTTTCTAAGCAAAACCTCGCCGGGTATCGTTTTAGGTCACTGACCTTGTTAAGCGCTAAGAGATCATGATGACCAAAAACCTACGATATTGTTCTGATTTTTTAAATTTACCTTACCGTTAGGATTACACTAGGTAGTACATTCCTAAAAACAAAGGATTGGTCTGCGTCATTTCAGGTCAGTAACGTACTCTGACCTTTAAAAAGTCCACAGAAGATTCTGTTGCGGTCCCTGTTATCAAGAAATTTAAAATGAGTGTCAGGAGTTACCCCGTAAGCAAGCTCCCTAGCAAAAAAAGCAGTTCGGTTTTGGCCTTGGTCTGATCTTTATACCTGAAACTGGGTCAGTGAAACTTATTATAATCTTAAATTTCATTGCTAATCGTTTAAGAAACTATGTCATAAGCGCATGGCTTCGTCAAACATTCCGCCGTCGCACGAGATTGAACGACTTCCTAGCAATTGCCTTCACTGGCAGCCGACCGACAGCCCGGTCCGAACTTGACCTGCCATAGGTCAGCGACCATGCAAGGCAAATATGATTTTGTTGTACCAAAAGACTTCATTGCCTGTAGCTATGTAAAGCTTAGCGAGGCTAAGCCACGCTATTCGAAAACCATGCATTTTATTATGACGGAAAAAATATTCAATAAAATAATGATTTTGTAAAAAATGTGGTGGGGGCCAGATTGACCCAACATCCACCCGGGCGCGGTTAATGTGGACCTAGTGCGAGTAAAAGATATAACACGATTATGAACCAAAAGTCTAAAACTACTCCTATGATGTCCCACTTGCCTTTTGAAATGACCTAGTGACCCACATTACTAAGCGTGACAACGCCCTCCTGGTGTGGCCAGCCGGATTCACAGTATCTTTCGGCAGCGCGTGTACACCAATTGGCGTTAGCTTACGTGAACTCCCCCCCCCCCCCCGTTGGTGCAGAGCGCGTGGCCACCAAGTCGACTTGTCCTGAACCCCCAAATGACGGGGGGAGTCCCTCTATGCCTGGTGTCCTGATGTCCCTCTATGTCTGGCAGCGACGCCAGCTTCAGCGCTCTAATGTTGGCGACTCTCCCTAATGTTGGGGACGCGCACCAGCAACGACGCGCGCCGCCAAGTACGACAGGGGGGGGGGGAGGGGTGGTGGGTCGTGGCGGGTGCGCCCAGGAGGTGGTAGTGAGGTCCACGGCGCTGCACGAGCCGGCCGTCGTGCCCGTGCGTCGCTTTTCGACTGGAGTGTCTGGGATGTTGAATCATGTACCCAGTCGCCGCTCCGTGTTTTCAGCGACGGTGGTCAGCCACATTTTGCGAGTTGGAGAAGTACATCCGGGAACGTGTCTTAGAAGTGACTTTAGAACGAGATCTTGCACCGAAATCCGGCAAACGCCTACGGCCCTACCTAAACGACAACACTGATCGCCGAAGACAGCGTCGGCACGGCAAGCGGGCATCCAGCACCAGGCCGCCCTGTCCCCAAGCGGCTCCGATGACACCAGCGCGTGTTCCCATCGCCCCAGTGCTGGCCAACAGTCACCGTGATCCCCATGGGCCTGAGGAACGATTGGTCTGACGGCGCCTGGAGCTGGGAGGACAACACGCCGTCGGAATGACGGCACAAGCGCTTGGAGGACGGTATAGCGCTGGGAGGACGGTACAGCGCTGGGAAGACGGTACAGCGCTGTGAGGACAGTATAGCGCTGGGAGGACGGTATAGCGCTGGGAGGACGGTACAGCGCTGGGAGGACTGTATAGCGCTGGGAGGACGGTACAGCGCTGGGAGGACGGTACCGAGCTGGGAGGACGGCACAGCGCTAGGAGGACAACACGCCACTGGGAGGATTGATCAGCGCTGGAAGGGCGGCGCAGTGCTGGGATAATACTCCTCTGGGACAACGGCACGCAGGTGAAAGGGCCGCACAACACTGGGAAGACAACACGCCGTTGGGGCAACGGCACGCAGCTGATAGGGCCGCACAACACTAGGAAGACGACACTCCGCTGGGACAACGGCACGCAGCTGTGAGGGCCGCACAACACTAGGAAGACGACACTCCGCTGGGGCAACGGCACGCAGGTGAGAGGGCCGCACAACGTTGGGAAGACAACACGCCGCTGGGCTGCACCAACAGGTTACGGCCAGCGGTCGACGTCAAGGGCCCACGGAGCGCCGTGATGGACGGCCGCATGGTCAGCTAGCTAGCCCAGAGCTGTGTTAACGCCGTGTCCTCCTGCTGCGAGGCCTCGGCCGGCGGGGCGGGGATGGCAGCGGGATGGCAGCGGGGCGGGATGGCAGCGGGATGGCAGCACTGCGGCCTCAACGGGACGAGACGGGAGCGCTCGAGAACGAGAAGCGAGAGGGCTGCAGCGGAGGCGTCACCACAGTTTTCACCTGCGGTCAGGGGTCAGCCGTTGCCGGTGCCGGTGCCGGCCAGGGGTCAGCCGTTGCTAAGGGGATCATAGGTAGCGTTTTTGGGGAGGTCGAGAGCGGTCGCGGGCTGGTGATTCAGGAATGCGAACCATTAAGACGTGGGAGCTACGAATGTGGTGACTGCCGCCCACAGGGATTGGTCCAGATGCTTGCAAAAAGGACGGAATTGTGCATTCAGGAAACCACGAGGATCGACTTTCGTGTCCATACGAAAGCATTGGCATAGCAAAAGTGAATTTACTTCTGCTATTGTTTCGATAGAGTCACGTTGCCGAAATATAAATATAAATGTATCTCCATTCTCCTGTTTTGTTCCGAGGAATAAGGCTATCTTACACTATATGTATATCTATATATATATATATATATATATATATATATATATATATATATATATATATATATTATACTATACTTATACTAATACTGGCTTATCTATGCGAGCAATGTTCCTCGCTAATGCACTGAACCACTTGCATTAACCATTAGTTTTAGGTGCCCTCGGGGTGCGTGTGACGCAGCTCGCAGGCCAATCAGCTCCTGATCTCGGCGATTCGTAGGTAGGATTGTATGGACTAGATCAAAATGTGAGTTGTCTGTTCAGTTATGCGTGCGTTTCCGGTTGACAGTTGTGGTATTCTTCTGACAGCAATGTGTGGCTTTCGGGCC